GTGCCCAGCCCCCTCGTTCACGTGCAGCTTCAGTGCAGTTCAAGGCTCTCGGACAAGCCCCTCTTGGTGGAATACGGCAGTTACAACATCAGTCAGCGTAAGCCGGGGATCAGCTCCTTAGAACACCTTCATGAAGGGGTTAAGCAGAGGCCACCCCTTTACAACTCTAAACTTTGAGAATTTAAGGGATATTTTTATAGGAATATATAAATAAATATGTAATGTAAACAAAATAGGTGATAAATAACACATACAATTATGTATTTATTCTGCTGAAGTTTAAATTATAGAAGAAGTAACACAGTTGTTACAAATGAAAAATAGTTCCTTACATCATTCCTGAAATAGAGGGCAAGCTCATTTCTTGATTTGTTGTTCTTCTTGCTAGCCACGATTCTTGGTAGATGGGAGGTATACACCAAGACTTGGTGGATCAGAAGGCAACAGTTTCGACTCACTGTGGCCTCTGATGTGCAGGGAGAGCTGGTCGCTCAAGGAGAGCCCAAATACCAGCCCTCAGAATGTTGAACTTCACACTGAGAACCGCTGGCACGGGGGCAGGAAGCGGTCAGCGGAAGAGGCAACGTCTGAGGGACGGCGTTAGTGCTGGAGGGAGTAGATACTGATTCAGGAAATCCTCAACCCGTTTTAAAAGGGGAAAAGTAAGGGTTAGCCACTTAGGTAACTATGAGGATAAGGCTTTTTAGACCCTTCCTTCTTTGCCAATCCCAATATACCTGCTTCTGGATTCAGAATATTACACTTCTGAATATCAGAATATTACAATTTCCAGCAAGGATCCAGCTATATAGTAAGCCATCTTATTTTTAACTGTTTTTTTCAAACCAGAAATATTTCCTAGGGACTCACGCTTTCCATCGTGTGCAGTTGCAATGGTGGTTGATCTGATCGTGCACTATCCCTAATCTTTTGCACAAAGCACAGACAATGTCGCTTATAAAGAACAGAAATTTCTTTCTCACAGCTCTGGAGGCTGGAAGTCTAAGATAACGGTGCCAGCCTGGTTGGGTGAGGGCCCCCTTCTGGATCTCAGACTTTCTGTTTTGTCCCCACATGGTGGGAGGAGCAAGGGAGTGCTGTGGGGCCCCCTTTACAAAGGCACTAATCCCATTCGTGAGGGAGCTGCCTTCATAACTTCTGTAAAACCTCCGTAAAACCCCACCTCCTCAAACCATCATCACCTTAGGCATTAGGATTTCAACACCTGAAATGGGTGGTGGGGGGTGGACACAAAATTCAGACTGTGGCAGAGAGCAAGGATTGATTACTTCCCTCATGTTTGGCTGTAAGCCCAGGATTAATGATTCTGGAGCAGGCAGGGAATGGATCTTCAAAGAGTAGCCTAGTTGAAGTGCACTGAGAGGTAGGAAGCAGGAGCCCCAGTTCTGAGGCCAGTCACTAATGTCCTTAGGTCCACTTTCTAAGGTCGGTGGTTACTACTACATTTTGGGACAAAGGTCACTTGAAAATGTAATTAAAGACACAGACTCCTCAGAATAATGCATCTGATCATAGAGGATTCAGAGACACCAGAAGACCATTTGTAATTCCCTGGGGAGTCTGAAGACAACACACTGGGCATGCTGGACTTGAAGGTATCATCCAGCTTTCTCTTTCTTCAAGTCTGTGATAAAGTCAAGTTGAGGAGTCAAGGATGGAGGTAGTAGGAATTAGACTGTACATGTGACCTGGATGCAGTGTTGACCCAGAACTCCTGCAGGATTAGTTTGCTTTCTTTGCTCTCTTAAATTCTCCATTTTGGTCTTTCAGTGACCTTGCTTATTATTTCAATTTTTTAACTCAATTTTTATATTTATTTAATTTATATGTTTCAATGACCTTTCAATAGTCTCCTCTGATGGAGAAATTGTATATTTACTACTGGTACATTGCCACCGCTTAGCCATTTAACACTTCATGCTTCTTTGTTAACGTGGTCTGGTGCCTTTTAGGGACCCACACAACATTTCCTGTTTTTTATTATCTCTAGCCTGTCCTGTTGGATCTTTTAGATGCTCCTCCGGTTTGTGTGTCCCTCAAGCCCAGCACTGTGATGGCGTAAATGACTGCTTTGACGAGAGCGATGAACTTTTCTGTGGTGGGTATTCAAGCTTTTACCAGGACTTTCTCAGGAACAGAGAGCTTGTCAGGACCATTGTCGCTGATGCTGCATATCCTGGGTCTTTGTAGCTGTTATCTCTCACCACGTAACAAGCTACCCCCAACCTCGGTGACTTACAAAAATCACTTGTTCCAGATCATCCATCTGTGGGTTATCTGAGATATGACTGATCTAGGCTGGGCTCAGCGGGGTAGCACTGCTTTAAGCAGTGGTCCTCCTGAGCTTGGTTCTTCGCAGGTTGGGGTCACTCTTCTCATGGTTCTTCTCCTTGCTGAGCTAGGGGGCTGGGAGAAGAGTTCACCTGACCATATGACACCATTGGCAGCACTTTCTTCTAAAGATCCAGAGTTAGATTTCAATACAATTGCAATAGTGACGCTATTTAACCTTTTTCATATTGTTGGGAAAATATTATAATTAATATAGCTAACCATGAAAAAATTATATTCATGAAAAATAATCTGTGACTCTACATTTTTTTATTGACAAAACAAAATATAACCCTCCTAGCTTATGCTTCATTGACCTTTTAAATCTATAGGGTCTTCTATTCCTTAAGAAAAGAATACAATTATATAGTGATTGAGGTTGCTTTTGTGTTTTATATTATTATGATTCCCTACCATGACGCTCCAAACAAGAGTGATTATTGTTACTTCATAACAAGGATCGTTTTTTGATCATTATTATTTCTCATCATGCCAATTTGGAAGCTGTTCTCCAGGCGTTGACTTGGTACTCTCAGAGACTTAATAAACTGTTTCAGGGCAGCAATGCTCTACCCCTGCCCCCCAACAAGACATACATTTGAAAAAACAGGAGCAGATAACAAAAATGATAACTTTTCCAAAAAACCCAGAAATGTCTAAGGAATCATACTCTATAAGTGTGCTTGCTAATATACTCTGTCTGTCATGTGGCTATAGGCAATTAATAAAAACATACCAAAGAAGAAATATTGTAATAGATTTACACTGGTATTTCCCAATTGAGGAAATGAATGTCTCAGGATAAAATCATTTAAAAGAGAGTTTTCCATACCAATAGACTACAAGTCCGCTGCTCTTTAAGTTCTTGCATTCGTTCACCTAGTCAACAAATCCTTAGTGAGCACCTACTACTTGATCAGGGGCTTGAAATACAGAGATGAATACGACAAAATCCCCAATCTCAGGATACTCCCACTTTGTTTAGCAAGGTAGACAAGTTCAGTTTAGAAAACAGCTTATGATTTTTATTTTTCTTAAAATCTTAATGATGCATTCAATTGTAATTAGATAAACAAACCACCAGAGTTTCATATATTTAATGCACAGCTAGAGTCAGATCTGACACACTCAGGGTGCTAGGAATCACACCAAAGTGTAAACATTTGCTTTTCCTCATGGAGGTGTCAGTTTTGAGGAAACACAGTTTCGTCTGATTTAAGTCATCCTAAACACTTGCACCTTTAAAGGGCACTGCTGGCCATCAGAGTCTGCCGATGTCTCAGGCTCACAAGACTTCATGTCTGTTCTCGTTCCAGTGACCCTTAAACCTGCCTGCAACGCCAGCTCCTTCAGGCAGCACAGCCCTCTGGTCTGCGACGGCTTCAGGGACTGTGAGGATGGCCAGGATGAGCAGAACTGCACTCAGAGTGAGGAAGACCCCTCTGTACTTTGCTGTTCTTCCTAGCAGACTCTTCCAAGTCAGAATTGAAGTAACTGTGGAGCTAAGGCAATTGACTTGTCCCAGTGTTCCCAGGACTCTCCCAGTTTTAGCACTGAAAATCCCAGGTCCCAAGAATCCTCTTGGATGCAGACAAAATGGAAAAGTTGGCCACTTTATCTGGGGTGGGGTGTGTGTGTGTGTGTTTGTATGTGTGTGTGTGTATACTGGAAAAATTTTCTTGCTTACTTGCTTTTAAAGCTGTTCCAGACTAAAGGATACTGAGATTCTGATACAGCGGGACTTGCCAGATACCATAATGGGGCGTGTTCTATTCCAGCCCCTGCAGAAACACACACCACCAGAGGTGTGAACAAATATGCTATAATTCATAAAATCTGTCCACTCCCCTGCCTCTAATGGCATAAAAGGACTAAATATGGTGTTGACTTTTGCTCAAATATTTTCTTGGAGAATAAGACAAAGTAATGGCAAAGAGAACATGGCTTAAGTCACTGATAAGGCCAATTGCCTTGCATCTCACTTACAGTGGAAGAAGGGAGAGGCTGTTGGATTGATTCTCAACAGGTGTCCCTGCCTGTCTTCCAGTGAAGCTGTTGAGATGCAGGGACGGGACACATGGGGTTGCTTCATTTCC